TCGCCGAGTCAGCCGAGGAGTCCCCTTCTGTCAAGTCAAACAAAGTCTCTGATGCTTGCTCTCTGGGATGGTTGAGAGAATTTGGTCGCCTCATGGAGGCACCTGCACTTTCATTGCGCTCGGAAGGGTGATGATCTTCTGTTCGTCCGAGCGTTCCTTCTTGTGATTCCATGCTCTGCGAAGCTAACGGCTGTGCCGTCGTTTCGGCTGATAACCAATCTTTTGCCTGGATATTCGTACTCCCTGCAATATGCTCCGATGGTATATCATGGTCAGTGGGCTCCGCCGATGACATGGGAAAGAAGGCATAAGCCGTCAAGCGTACACTAGGGTAACACTGAATGGAGGAGGCCGGCCCGCCGGCCGACGCACGCGCGCGCCGCCGCAGGCTCGCTCCTTTTCCGTTTTCCTAGAGCCAAAGTGGTATAGCTGCGGAAGCAGAAGCAGTCAGTTCATCGGGCAGTGCGCGCAAGGCAAAAGAGCAGAAAGGGCTAAAGGATGGTGGTGCGGCATGGGTGCGTTGACTAATTAAGCTGCTCCAGCAGCTCGCAGCTTGGCCGTCCGGCCAGCGCCGTCGGCACGGAACTGACGAGCGGTAGCCCAGTCTAGAGCCCCGCTCAGCTCCTGGCCCCACCGGGTGGCCAGCGCGCTCGCGGCAGACGCAGCGGCTTCCTCGCCCAGGACGGCCGCGTCGCCGCGCGCGAGCCCCCTGAGGTACTGGAGGGCAGCGCGCCCGTGCTGGCCGCCCGTTTCCAGGGCGAAGGGCAGCATGCCCCAAGGGGCGCGACCCGCCGGGTAGCGCCGGCGTTCGTCAGCCTCCACCTCGGCGTTCGCCGCGCCGTCCCGCCCCGCCGCGGCGGCCAGGACGCGCTCGTCCCCACCCGCGCGCAGTAGCGCACGGTGATGTCGAGGAACAGCCTGGGGCAGTCCGCCCGCTGCTCCTCGAGGTCAAGGAACCCCGCAAGTGCCGCAGAGCGCAGCCTCCTTCTCCTCTTCCTCCTCCTCGTCCTCCTCCTCCTCCTCCTCCAGAGTGTACGCCGGGCGATGGCTTGGTAGGAGAGGGGCGGCGGAAGGGTACCAAGCCAGCGGGGTACCAAGCCGGCGGCATCGTGGGAGGGCGGGAGGAGGAAGGGGGAAGGGCTCCCGGATACCAAGCCGGCAAGGTACCAAGCCAGCGCTGGCTTGGTAGGGGGTGGGCTGCGGGGGGTATCAAGCCGGCGGGGTACCAAGCCGGCGGCATCGCGGGAGCGCGGGAGGGAGGGGAGGGGCTCCCGGATACCAAGCCGGCGGGGTACCAAGCCGGCGCTGGCTTGGTAGCGGGGGCGGCGGGGGGAGGTACCAAGCCGGCGGGGTACCAAGCCGGCGGCATCGTGGGAGGGCGGGAGAGGGGGGGGGGGAAGGGCTCCCGGATACCAAGCCGGCGGGGTACCAAACCGGCGCTGGCTTGGTAGGGGGCGAGCTGCGGGGGGTACCAAGCCGGCGGGGTACCAAGCCGGCGGCATAGCGGGAGCGCGGGAGGGGGGGAATGGCTCCCGGATACCAAGCCTGCGGGGTACCAAGCCGGCGCTGGCTTGGTAGGGGGCGGGCGGCGGGGGGAGGTACCAAGCCGGCGGGGTACCAAGCCGGCGGCATCGTGGGAGGGCGGGAGGGGGGGGGGAGGGGTTCCCGGATACCAAGCCGGCGGGCTACCAAGCCGGCGCTGGCATGGTAGGTGGGAACCCCTGGGGGGGTACCAAGCCGGCGGGGTACCAAGCCGGCGGCCGCTGGCTTGGTAGGGAGAGCACCTGGGGGAATACCAAGCCGGCGGCCGCTGGCTTGGTAGGGAGGAGCCCCTTGGGGGGTACCAAGCCGGCGGGGTACCAAGCCGGCGGCCGCTGGCTTGGTAGGGGAGAGCCCCCGGGAAAGGTACCAAGCCGGCGGGGTACCAAGCCGGCGGCCGCTGGCTTGGTAGGGGGGGGGCCCTGGAGGGGGACCAAGCCGGCGGGGTACCAAGCCGGCGGCCGCTGGCTTGGTAGGGGGGAGCACCTGGGGGGTACCAAGCCGGCGGCCGCTGGCTTGGTAAGAGGAGACCCTGGGGAGGTACCAAGCCGGCGGGGTACCAAGCCGGCGGCCGCTGGCTGGTAGGGGGGAACCTGGGGCGGGTACCAAGCACTCGGGGGTACTAAGCCGGCGGCCGCTGGCTTGGTAGGTGGGGGGCCCTGGGGGGGTACCAAGCCGGCGGGGTACCAAGCCGGCGGCCGCTGGCTTGGTAGGGGGGAAACCCGGGGGGGATACCAGGCCGGCGGCCGCTGGCTTGATAGGGGGGAACCCCTGCGGGGGTACCAAGCCGGCGGGGTACCAAGTCGGCGGCCGCTGGCTTGGTAGGGGGGAGCCCTGGGGGGGGGGTACCAAGCCGGCGGGTACCAAGCCGGCGGCCGCTGGCTTGGTAGGGGGGGCCCCTGGGGGGGTACCAAGCCGGCGAGGTACCAAGCCGGCGGCCGCTGGCTTGGTAGGGGGGGAGGCTTGGGGGGGTACGCAGCCGGCGGGGTACCATGCCGGCGGCCGCTGGCTTGGTAGGGGTGAGCTCCTGGGGGGGCACCCAACCGGCGGCCGCTGGCTTGGTGGGGGGAGCCCCTGGGGGGGGGGACCAAGCCGGCGGCCGCTGGCTTGGTAGGGGGGAGCCCCCTGTGGGGGTACCAAGCCGGCGGGGTACCAAGCCGGCGGCCGCTGGCTTGGTAGGGGGGAGCCCCTGGGGGGGAGGAGGGTACCAAGCCGGCGGGGTACCAAGCCGGCGGCCGCTGGCTTGGCAGGGGGGATCCCCTGTGGGGGTACCAAACCTGCGAGGGTACCAAGCCGGCGGCCGCTGGCTTGGTAGTGGGGGCCCCGGGGGGGGGTATCAAGCCGGCGGGGTACCACACAGGCATACCCTAACGGGCGGGTCGGGTCGGGCGATACGTTAAAGTATGATGAATCATCGAGCTGGCGCGTGCGTACCCTAACGCGCGGGTCGGGTCGATCGGGTGGGACAATAAAATATGATGCATAATCGAGTTGGCACGTGCGCACCGTGACGGGCGGGTCGGGTCGGGCGGGAAGGACATTAAATTATGATGCCCCATCGAAATGGCACGTGCGTACCCTAACGGGCGGGTCGGGTCGGGCGGGTGGAACATTAAAGTATGATGCATCATCGAATAGGCACGTGCGTACCCTAACGGGCGGGTCGGGTCGGGCGAGAGACCCTAACGGGCGTGCGAGTCGGGCGGCGGGCGGGGCCCTAACGGGCGGGCGGCGAGTCGGGCGGGCGGGCGCCCGCGCGCTCCCTGAAGCACCACCGCACCACGCCACACATGCAACACCACCACGCCTCCTCATCCCCCTCATCCTCCCCCTCCTCCGCTTCCTCCTCCCCCCCCCCGACCTCCTCGTCCTTTCTTCCTCCTCCTCTTCCTCCTCCTCTTCCTCCTCCTCCTCTTCCTCCCCCCCCCTCCCCAGCCTCCTTCACCTCCTCCTCCTCCTCCTCCTCCTCCTCCTCCTCCTGTCCCTCCCCATCCCCCTCCCTCCTGGTATCGCTGGTACCGGAGGCTGTCGAGTACTGGGCGCTCTCTTGGAGGCGGGGCCTATTGAGTACCGAGTGCTGTCATCAAGATGGGGCCTGTTGAGTACTGGGCGCCCTCTTGAAACGGAGCCTGTTGCGTACTGGGTGCTCTCTTGGAGGCGATTTTCTTTTTTAATGCAACTTCGCAGGGGCCTCTCTGATATCGGAAGCTGTGGAGTACTGGGTGCTCTCTTGGAGGCGGGGCCTGTTGAGTACCGAGTGCTGTCTTGGAGACGGGGCCTGTTGAGTACTGGGTGCTCTCTTAGAGACGGGGCCTGTCGAGTATTGGGTGCTCTCTTGGAGCCGGGTTTCTTTTTTAACACAACTTCGAAGGGGCCTCTCTGGCATCGGAGGCTGTGGAACAATGGGTGCACTCTTGGAGGCGGGGCCTGTTGAGTACCGAGTGCTGACTTGGAGATGGGGCCGGTTGCGTACTGGGCGTCCTCTTGGAGACGGAGCCTGTTGCGTACTGGGTGCTCTCTTGGAGGCGGACTTCTCGTTTAATGCAACTTCGAGGGGGCCTCTCTGGTATCGGAGGCTGTGGAGTACTGGGTGCTCTCTTGGAGGCGGGGCCTGTTGAGTGCCGAGTGCTGTCTTGGAGACGGGGCCTGTCGAGTACTGGGCGCTCTCTTGGAGACGGGGCCTGTCGAGTACTGGGTGCTATCTTGGAGCCGGTTTCTGTTTAAATGCAACTTCGAAAGGGCCTCCCTGGTATCGGAGGCCGTGGAATACTGGGTGCTCTCTTGGAGGCGGGGCCTGTTGAGTGCCGGGTGCTGTCTTGGAGACGGGGCCTGTTGAGTAGCGGGTGCTCTCTTGGAGACGGGGCCTGTTGAGTACTGGGTGCTTTCTTGGAGGCGGAATTCTTTTGGAATACAACTTCGAAGGGGCCTCTCTGATTTCGGAAGCTGTGGAGTACTGGGTGCTCTCTTGGAGGCGGGGCCTGTTGAGTGCCGAGTGCTGTCTTGGAGACGGGGTCTGTTGAGTACTGGGTGCCCTCTTGGAGATGGGGCCTGTTGAGTACTGGGTGCTTCCGAGGCGGATTCCTTTTTGAATGCATCTTCGAAAGGGGCCTCTCTGGCATGGAGGCGTGGCCTGTTGAGTGCCGAGTGCTGTCTTGGAGACGGGGCCTGTTGAGTACTGGGCGCCCTCTTGGAGACGGAGCCGGTTGAGTGCTGGGTGCTCTCTTGGAGGCGGAATTTTTTTTAATGCAACTTCGAAGGGGCCTCTCTGGCATCGGAGGCTGTGGAGTACTGGGTGCTCTCTTGCAAGCGGGGCCTGATGAGTACCGGGTGCTGTCTTGGAGGCGGGGCCTGTTGAGTACTGGGTGCTCTTTTGGAGACGGGGCACGTTGAGTACTAGGTGGTCTCTTGGAGGCGGATTTCTTTTTTAATGCAACTTGCTGGAGCGTGCACGGGAGCGCCACCTGCTCCTGCAGGGCCAACTCCTTCTTGCCAGGGTAGTCCACGCCGTCCACGTGCGGGCCGCCGTGGTACATCGTGTGCCAGTAGCTCAGCTGCCCCCTGAGCGCCTCCCCTTCGCCCTGCAGGCGGGCTACCTCCGTCGTCAGGCCCGCGCACCTGGCAGACCAAGTGCGGTTCGCGGTGCGGCCCGGCGCCCCCGCGCGAGGAAGTCTGCACTTTCTCCCGCAGGCGCGCTCAATGGCCGTCAACCCCGTGAACCGACCTCGTCTCCACCTTGCTGCAGGCCGCGTCTGCGTCGGCCGCCTCCTGGCGCGCCTGCGCCAGCTCCGCGCGCACCGTCGCGAGCTCCTGGTCGCGCACGCCCAACGCCGCGGCCGCGGCGGCGGCTTTCCGGCGCGCTTGCGCCAGCTCCTCCCGCAGCCTGCCAACACCGGCGCCGCGCTCGCCCCCCGCGACCCCCGGCGCCGCCGCCGGGGGCGCCGCCGCCACCCGCGGCGCCGCCGCCCTCGGCGCCCCCGCGGCTGCGCGCGGCGGGGCCTGCTGGACCGCCGCCGCGGGCGCGGCCGCGCTCGCGGCCCCGCTCTCGCGAGTCGACCCACCGTCCGGCGCCGAGCTCTTCGGGGAGCGCGAGCGTGAGCGAGGCTTGCCGCCCTCGCTCGCCGGCGCCGCTGCCGCCGCCGCCGCCGCCCGCCGCGCCGGAGTGGCCGCCGGCGGCCTGGCGCCCCTGCCCCGCTTCGCCGTGACCGTGGCGCCGTCCTTCAGGGTGTCGCCGAGCGGCTGGTCGAGAGGCAGCGGCTCGCCCCGCGCGCGTCCCTCCGGGGATCTGCATCCCAAGATGCTACATGCTAGCCACAACGCTGGCACGGGCGATAAGTATGAATTCTCCCAGGCACACAGGCACTGGGTGCTCACAACCACCGTGGTTCACGCACGCGCTGCAGTGAACAAAAAGTTGTGGTCTACACAAGCGTCGTCGTGCACGCGGGAGCTGTGGTGCGCGTAAACACGGCGGTGTACACAGGCGCTGTGGTGCACGCGGCTGCTGCGGTGTGCACGCGCCGTGGTATGCACAGGAAGTGCTAGCATGTAGTTGGGGCGAGAACAGATCGCCAGCCTCGTTCTGGTAGTTGGCCGCCGTGAAGGTCCAGCCCAGCTTGGCCTTGATCGCGGCGAGCAGGTCCGCCCCGCTGGGCGCCGAGTCAACCTCGATCACGTCGGACCTCGAGTGACCGTTCACGGCCAACAACTTCAGCATCACCATGGCGACGGCCGTACAAAGCTGAAAGCCCCCAGCGCTTGAAGCCGAGAATCTTGACCATTACCTTCCACCTACAATACCCCTCTGCCCTCTCTTCCTTCCCTCTCTTCCTCCTCTGACTCCCACCGCATTCGCGCGCATGTCGTCATCCCCTCCTCCTCCTCTTCCTCCTCCTCCTCCTCCACCTCCTCCTCCTCCTCCGCTGCCGTGGCGTCCTGCCACTGCTCATCGACCTCCTCATCCACCTCCTCGTGATCATCCTGATTCCCTCCTCGCCCTTGCATTCCTGATCCTCCTCCGCGTCATCGTTCCTCTCACGATGGGGTTCCAACCTCAAGGATCGAGTTTCGAGGTTACCGACCCTGCGGGAATATCCGCGCCACGATGGGAGCCTCTTGGGGACTCTTTGATGGCCTGTTGGGAGCGTCTCTGGCTGTCTTGGGGCGCTTTGGGAGTCCCTGGGGGGGGCGCCTCCGGGGCTTCTCGAAGGCTCTTGAGGTTACAAGGTGCCGCCTCGGGAGCCACTTGTGCCGTCGTGGAACGATCGTGGAGGCTTCTTCGGAACCCCTGGACGTTTTCTGGGCTCGTGTTTATGTCTTCGGGTCGAACTTGAAACCCTTCCAGGGTGTATTCGGAGCCTTTCTGGAGGCTGTCATGGCGTCTCGAGGCGGTTCTTGAGGCAGTTTCGGCCGTCGTTGACGTGTCCACAACGAGAAATGTGGAAACGCTAAAATTTCAAGAGAACTTCACGAGCGTTGGAGATTTTCGCTTCGTCGGGCCCTTCAGGGGTGTCTCTGGAGGCCCTCCTGAGCATTCTTTGAGGGCTTCCAAGGCCGTCCCGAAATCGTATTGAGCCATCTTGGGGGCATCTTGGACCGTTCTCTGATTTGTACTTTTTGGGCCGCGCTCCATTTCAACCCCTGAACCACTCCTGCGGCCCAAATGCACCAGCCAAGTGCGGAACATCGGTAAAATCATTCAACACATGTCCCCGCCGTTTCAGCGCCCCCGAAACACTTCCAAGGCGGTTGTTCCACTGCATGCTTCTACACTTCCCTGATCAAGGCAACTCGCCTGGCGATCGTTACTGGATGGGCTGGTGGGGGCACGCGAAGCGTCAAGAATTGCATCTCTATCTCTCTCTCTCTCTCTCTCCCTCTCTCTTCCTCTCCCTCTCTCTCTCTCTCTCTCTCTCTCTCTCTGCGTGTATATATGTATACATATATGTATACAGATGTACATATATATATATATATATATATATATATATGTGCATGCATACATATCTATACATATATTTGTGTATATGTGTATATGTAGGCATATATGTATACATAAGTATATGTTCATCCGCCACCGTGCCTCTGGGCACGGAGTGGGCGTGTCCTCAGGTCCTCTGCCTCATCCCCTGGGCCTCAGTCCTCAGTCCTGAGGAGTCTTTTAGGGGACCAGACCCCAAATTGCCAAATCTCCTGGGGCTCCCGGCCGTTCCCCTGGGGTCCCCGGCAACTTGTCGCGTGACTGGTTCGGGCCCAAGAGGGCCCCAAGACGGGCCAAGATAACCCCAAGAGGCGTCCAAGACGGCCCAAGAGGCCCCCGAGACGCCCAAAGATCGCTCCAAGACTCTCAAGATGGGCCTAAGACGGCCCAAGAGGCCGCTCAGACGCCCCAAGACGGCCCAAGAGGCGTCCAAGAGGGCCCCAAGACGTTCCAACAGGCCTCAGAAGAGCGGCCCAAGAGTCCAAATCGACAATTTCCATTTGTTTTTGAAGGATGTTGGCCCTCCCGCCTTTTCGGCTCTCCGACGCTCCAAGACGGCCGAAGAGGCCCCCAAGACCGCCCCAAGACGGCCTCCAAGAGGGCCCCAAGACGGCCCAAGAGGGCCCCAAGACGGCCCAGGAGGCGCCCAAGACGGCCCAAGAGGCCCCCAAGACGGCCCCAGGAGAGGGCCCAGAGGGGGACCACAGACCGAAAGCTCGAGCCTGCCGCCCCAAGAGGCCGCCAGGAGACCCCAAGAGGCCCCGAAGAGGCCCCAAGGGGCTGCCAAGACGCCCCCAAAGAGGCTCCCAAGAGGCCCAAAAGAGGCTCCAAGAAGCTCCAAAACAGCCCCCTAAATGCCTCAAAACTGCCTCCAAGATGCCCCCGAGAGGCCAACCACGAGATCCCAACCAACATCCATGAGGCCTCTGACCCACCACCCAGGCACGATGGCGGGAAGGGCCGAAGGCCAGTAGGATACGAAACCGGGGGGGTACCAAGCCGGCGGCCGCTGGCTTGGTAGGGGGGAGCCCCCAGGGGGGTACCAAGCCGGCGGGGTACCAAGCCGGCGGCCGCTGGCTTGGTAGGGAGGAGCCCTCGGGGTGTACCAAGCCGGCGGGGTACCAAGCCGGCGGCCGCTGGCTTGGTAGGGAGGAGGACCTGGAGGGGTACCAACCCCCCGGCGGGTACCAAGCCGGCGGCCGCTGGCTTGGTTAGGGGGAGCCCCCATGGGGGGTACCACCCGTCGTGGTACAAGCCGGCGGCCGTTGGCTTGGTAGGCAGGCGCCCCCGGGGGGGTACCAAGCTGGCGGGGTACCAATCCGGCGGCCGCTGGCTTGGTAGGGAGGAGGCCCCTGGAGGGGTACCAAAGCCGGAGGAGCGAGGTACCAAAGCCGGCGGCCGCTGGCTTGCAGGCAGAGCGCCCCCCGGGGGGGTTAACCAAGCCGGGCGGGGTACCAACGCGGCGGCCGCTGGCTTGGTAGGGAGGAGGCCCTGGAGGGGTACCAAGCCGGCGGGGTACCAAGCCGGCGGCCGCTGGCTTGGTAGGGAGGAGGCCCTGGAGGGGTACCAAGCCGGCGGGGTACCAAGCCGGCGGCCGCTGGCTTGGTAGGGAGGGGGCCCTGGAGGGGTACCAAGCCGGCGGGGTACCAAGCCGGCGGCCGCTGGCTTGGTAGGGAGGAGCCCCCCGGGGGGTACCAAGCCGGCGGGGTACCAAGCCGGCGGCCGCTGGCTTGGTTGAGGGAGGAGGGGCCCTGGCAGGGGTAACCAAGCCGGGCGGGGGGGGGTAACCATAAGCCGGCGGGCCGCCTTGTGGCTTGGTTAGGGATGAGCCCCCATGGGGTACCAAAGCCGGCGGGGTACCTAGTAAGCTGGCGGCCGCTGGTTGCAAGGGAGGATGGGCCCTGGATGGGTACAAAGCCGGCGGGGTACCAAGCCGGCCGGCCGATGGCTTGGTAGGGAGGAGTTTCTGGGGTGGGTACCAAGTTGGCGGGGTACCAAGCCGGCGGACGTCTGGGCTGGTAATCTGGATGGGGTTTGGTCGGCGCCAAGACAGGCCTTCAGAAGAGCGGGCCCAAGGAGGTTCCCCAAAAAGTTCCGAACAATTTTCCAATTTGTTTTTTTTGAAGAATGTTGGCCCTCCCGCCTTTTCGGCTCTCCGACGCTCCAAGACGGCGTAAGAGGCCCCCAAGACCGCCCCAAGACGGCCTCCAAGAGAGCCTCAAGACGGCCCAAGAGGGCCCCAAGACGGCCCAGGAGGCGCCCAAGACGGCCCAAGAGGCCCCCAAGACGGCTCCAAGAGAGGGCCCAGAGGGGGACCACAGACCGAAAGCTCGAGCCTTCCGCCCCAAGAGGCCGCCAGGAGACCCCAAGAGGCCCCGAAGAGGCCCCAAGGGGCCGCCAAGACGCCCCCAAAGAGGCTCCCAAGAGGCCCAAAAGAGGCCCCAAGAAGCTCCAAAACAGCCCCCAATATGCCTCAAAACTGCCTCCAAGAGGCCCCCGAGAGGCCAACCACGAAATCCCAACCAACATGCATGAGGCCTCTGACCACCACCCAGGCACGATGGCGGGAAGGGCCGAAGGCCGTAGGATACGAAGCCCGGGGGGGTACCAAGGCCGGCGGCGCTGTGGCTTGGTAGGGGGGAAGCCCCGGAGGGGGTCCCAAGCCGGCGGTGTCACTGAATATGTTGCCAAAGCGGGCGGCCCGCTCGGCTTGGTAGGAGGGGGGCCCTGGAGGGGTACCCAAAGCCGGGCGGAGGGGTACCAAGCCGGCGGCCGCTGCTGGTGGGAGGTGGCACTGGAGGGGGTACCCCCCCGGCGGGGTACCAAGCCGGCGGCCGCTGGCTTGGTAGGGAGGAGCCCTTGGGGGGGTACCAAGCGGGCGGGGTACCAAGCTGGCGGCCGCTGGCTTGGTAGGGAGGAGGCCCTGGAGGGGTACCAAGCCGGCGGGGTACCAAGCTGGCGGCCGCTGGCTTGGTAGGGAGGAGCCCCCGGGGGGTACCAAGCCGGCGGTGTACCAAGCCGGCGGCCGCTGGCTTGGTAGGGGGGATGGGCACCAAGCCCTGAGGTTCGATACCGGTAAAAATAGCAGTTGCAGAAAATATCTGCAAAAAATACCGGTTGTGAATCATATATGCAAAAAATAGCAGTTATGCGCATTTTTATATCATGTTGAGCATATCTGTAAATTCATAAGAGTCCTAAGTCATATCTGCAAAAAAATAGCAATTATAACCCATATCTGCAAAAAATAACAGTTATGGCAAATATCTGTAAAACATAGCAGTTAACAGTCAGATCTGCAAAAATAGCAGTTATGACAAATATTTTTTTTGAAAAAAATAGCAGTTATGAGTCATATCTGCATCATGAGCCGTCTCTGGGCCATCTTGAGCCGTCTTGAAGCAGTCTAGTGGGCCGCAGGTGAAACGACCCTTAAGCCTGCCCATCGAATCCGATGAGTTTCCGATGCGCTACCAATGAGTTTCCGATGGTTTCCGATGAGTTTGCACTGCGTACGTATCAAATAATGCCCGATCACGTGGTACGTGTTGAACACTGCCACGAGGCCGTCGGGTACACCGCTGCCCGTAGGCGGCGCGGGTTAAGACAATTAGGGACGCGGCTCGTTAAATAAACGGGCGCCGCGCTTAACATGAAAAAGTAAGTGAAACAGTGAGCGGGGCGAGAGCGTCATTTTGAAAGTACCCGCCCTCCATCCGTGTAGTTGTTCACTGCCC